CGAGAACCTTGGAGTTCCAGTTGTGCGCCGACCCGACCCTGGACCCCACCTTCCAGGCCAACCTCCTCCCCCTCCAGTCTTGGGCGCAGGCCTGGAGAGAGCAGTGGTTGCCCAGAAGCCTCCTCACCAACATCTTCGAGGTTGCCCTTAAGACCCCTGGATTTGACTGGAATCAGGTCCATGGCCCTGGGGGCGCTGTTTTCTGTACCTTAAAGCGTATGGGCTGGTCTGCTCGCCATCCTGTCGTTTGGAAGGACTCCAGAGGCATGTTGTTTGACTTCGGGTATTTGGAAAAGAAGTCCCTCAAGACCCTGGTTCTCTCCGGCACCAAGTTGGCCTTGCAGCAGGGCCTCAAAGGTACCAACTTCCATGGGAGTGTCTTGACAGGAGCCCCGCGCCTGGAGCCCATCATAGATGTCCTGAGGCAGTTACGTTCACGAGGCCAGGTGGCGTGTGCAGCTTTCTTGGCAGGCTCCGTGTCGGGCGGCTACCCGACGCAGAGCATCCTTTTCAGAGACCGTCGGGCGACCAGCCCGAATTGCAAGTTCTGCGGCGCCCTCGGTACGCCCCAGCACAGGATCGTAGGCTGCCCCGCGACGTGGTGGACTCGCAGGGAGTTGGACGTGCCAGAAGCGATTGCCGATTTCGAAGAAGCTCCGTCTTACGACATCGGTACCGCCAGATGCCTTGTTCCCAGCCTGGCTTTTGAGGCCCCTCCCCCCCGTCAGGATGCTGCTCAGGTTTGGAGTGTTTTACCCCCCAATGGCGTCTTCCGAGGCAACGTGGCGATCGACGGCTCGGCCTTTTCCCCTGGAGATCTCGCTCTGGAGAGAGCGGGCTGGGGGATCGTCCAGGTTGACCGCCATGGGGGTTGGGATGGGGCCTTGTATGGGCCACTGCCCCACCCAGTCCAGCAGTCGGGGTGTGCCGAAGTGTATGCTCTGCTTATGCTCATCCAGAATGTGGGGGTGGAGCCTGTGCACGTCGTTTGTGATTGTAAGATGGTAGTGGACATCTGGGAAGCTGGCAGTGGCCAGAACCTAGATAACATTGCTTATGCTGAGGTCTGGCGCGAGATTTTCCGCAAGTGTGAAGATATCACCGCGCCGATCACTGTTGAGAAAATTCGGAGCCACCAGTCCTGGGCCAAGGCGTCTGCTCAAGGTTGTGCTTGGTGGGCTTGGAGAGGTAACCGCGAAGCAGACCGTCTGGCCAGACTCGGGGCTCAGATGCACCCTGTCCCCCCGCAGCTGCGCACGGAGCTGAAAGCCCTCGATTTCCAGGTTCGGGGCCGCGCTGTGTTGGTCGCGGGAGTCGGGGGAGCGTTATCCAAGCTAAATTTCAATGATGCCGATAAGTTCCGCGCCAAGCGGTATAAAGCTCCAGATGTTTTAGAACTCGTGTCTGAGCCCAATGGGCACGAGATAGTGCGAGTCGGCAAGAGATCCGCTTGTGTGCGATGTGGAATTCGAGATTGGTCGAGAAATGCGATTACTGCGTTTCCTTGTACTGGACTCCCCAGACCCGCTCGTTTGGCTCACCCCTCCCACAGACTTTGGAGCGGTGATGGTGGCCGAGTGTGGTGCTGTGTCTGTGGGGCGTTCGGCACTAAGAAGGTGGTCCTCCTCGCCAAGGCCTGCAACGGCGGGCCTCGGAATAAGGATGCGTCTCATTCCTTGAGTCTCCTCAAAGGCGGGATTGACCCATCCACAGGTGCGGAATTCGGCCGATCGTTCCCCCTTAAGAGAGAGAGACCCCTCTAAGTGCCGTGCGTGATTTATTACCCCATTTTTGTGCCACGTGTTGCAGCAGCGGGACGTGGTGCGCCAAGGACCCATAGGACCCATAGGAGGAGGAGGAGGAGGAGGAGGAGGAGAGGGGGGAGGAGGGGGAGGAGGAGGAGGGGGAGGAGGAGGAGAGGAAGGAGGAGGAGGAGGAGGAGTGAGGAGGAGGAGGAGGAGGAGGAGAAGGAGGAGGAGGAGGATGAGGAGGGAGGATGAGGATAGGAGGAGGAGGAGGAAAGCGAGGGGGGAAAGGGGTCGGGCGCCGGTTCGGGAGCGGTCCCTCGGGAGCTGGCCACCGCGCCGCAGGCACCGCGCGGAGTGCCCTCGGGCCCCGCCCCGTTGGACCCGCTGTGCTTCCAGGTGCCCGCGGCCTCGAGTTCTCGGCGGTTCCGCGTGCCGGTGCGGAGGAGGAGGAGGAGGAGGAGGATGGAGGATGGAGGATGGAGGATGGAGGATGGAGGATGGAGGATGGAGGATGGAGGATGGAGGATGCAGGATGGAGGGGAGGAGGAGGAGGAGGAGGAGGAGGAGGAGGAGGAGGAGGAGGAGGAGGAGGAGGCGACTCTCGGCGTCTCCTCTCGCAGGGGCCAGAGGGCGCCAAGAGGCCCAATAGGCCCCGCTGACGGTCCAAGAGGGCACGGGTCGGCCCAAGAGCGCTCGAGCACGCCTAGGATGGCCTCAAGACGGCCCAAGAAGCCCCCTAGACGCCCCCTCCAAGAGGGCGCCCAGAGGCAACACTTCTTGATTCTCATGCGGGTTCTTGCTTTTGGATCTTCCGAGCGCCCAGTACTGTACGACCTAAGAGGCCTCCAAGACCGCCCCAGGAGGGCCTGAGAGACCGCCAAGAAGGGCCCAGAAGGCCCCCAAGACGGCCCAGGAAGCTCACAAGAGGGGCCCAACAGGGGGGATCTGCACAGACGTTGCGAGCTTTTTCCTCCCAAGCTGCCCCCCAAGAAGCCCCCAGATGCCCTCAGGAAGGCCATCAAGAGGCTCCAAGAAGCCCCCAAGAGGCTCCAACAAACTTTCAAGAGCCCCCGAGAGGCATCCCAAGAGAAACCGAGAAGCATCCAATACACCTTTGGCCCCCGACCCAAGCTCGGCGGCGGGATGGGCCGAAAGCCAACAGATCCTGGGCTCCTGTTGCTTACAAGAGGGGCTGTTGGCGCGCCACAGGTGAACCACTTGAACCCTTCCAACAAAATGCCATTGGGGTCTCGGCGCATCCCTGCCTGCAACTGCATCTCCCGTGGGCGTTTCCTTTCAAGATGTCTTCAAGATGGTTTCAATCTATGCCCAGATGGCCTCGAGAAGGTCTCCCGGATGGTCCAAGAGGGCTCGAAGTTCGCCCAATGTGCCTCCGAGACGTCCGGATATGGCCTCAAGACGGCCCAAGACGTCCTAAGAGGCCCCCAAGACGGACCAAGAGCCCTCGAATATGCTCCCCTGCAAGCAGGCACGACGAGGCCAACATCATTGATTCACCAACGGTTTGTGCATGATTTTAGCGCTATCGACTCTTGGGACTCCCGAGTGCCTAACGTGGCCCAAGAGGCCTCCAAGGTAGCCCCATGATGGCCCCGACATGCCTCAAGACGGCCTAAGAGGCCCACAAGACCGCCCCAAGAGGCCTCCCAAGACGGCCCCACAAACCTCCAAGACGGCCTCAAGATGGCCTCCGAAAGCAAGAAGGGCAGCCAAGAGGCCACCAGGAAGCCCGCAGGAGGCCCCAAGAGGGCCCCAAGAGGCCTCCTCTTATTTCTCGTCCCTCTCCCCCTGCTCCTCCTCGCGTATTCCCCAAGGGCTTCCACCACGGCTGGGGGAAACACACGGTCCAATAGCTTGGCCAAACTTTGGCCCAAAGCTTGGCTGCGTATGCGTTTACATCAGGCACGGCGGTGGTTCGCCGAAGGCGTCTTCGATGCGAGCGGCCAAGCGCCAACCACGGGGCGAGGAATGGGAACAACAAACTGCGGCCCAAAAGGAACCGTAGGGCACTGAGCCGGAACGGCCGACTACGGTCCACCCATCCATGGGGCACCGACCAAGGGGCATCGACAGGGAAAGACCGACTGTGGCGAAAAGGTCACGGGGCTCCGAACCGGAATCATGGGGAACCGACTGGGAACGACATATTGTGATACACACAAACAGACAAACACACATACACACAAACACATACACACAAACATACGCACGAACATACACACAAGCACACACAAACACACAAACACACAGACACACAGACACAAACACATACAAGCACACACAAACACAAATAAACACACACACAAGTACACAAGCACACAAGCACACACACAAACACACACACAGAAGCACACAAACATAACACACGCAAGGACACACACGGACAGACAAGGACACACAAACACACACACACACACGCACGCACGAACACACACACACACACACACACGCGCAAACACACATGCAAACACGCACACACAAAGAATTATACCAAGAAGCACACAAGACACACACACACACGCACAACGCACAAACACACACAAACACACAACCACATATAGACACAACACACACAGACACACACACACACACGCACACGCACGCACACGCGCACGCACACGCACACGCGCACGCGCACGCACACTCACACGCACACGCACACTCATACCCACCCACCCATACACACACATGCCACAAAACACCGAACGGGAACCGTCGGGCCCCGACCGGGAACGGCCGAAGGCGGCCCGGAACGCTAACCGCTTGGCGCCACCTCCAAAAGGCACCACGACAAGGGCACCGACCAAGAACGCAGAGGGCACCGGCACCAACCACGGGGCGCCGCCGGAGAGAAGCCGACTGCGACACAGACGACCAGCCCTAAGGCACCAAATGCGCAGGGCACCAGCCGTGGGGCACGGACCGGGGACGTCCGAAGGCGACGCAGCGGCCGAACTCTTTGTTGGACATTCCAAGCCCTGAGTGCGAGCACTGTGCGGATAGTGAGGCCGGCCGCTGATTCGGGAGAGCGAAGTTACTGGGACTCCTTATCGTCGCAAGACGATGAGTCACGAGGTCCAGTAAGCAACTGCCCTCCCCCCCTCCATCCCCGCCCGTCCCGTCTCCCCTTGTCTATTCGTTTCCCTCGTCCTCTGCCCCTTCCCTTGTCCCTCCGTCTTCCCATCTTTCCCCTGCTTGCCTCTTCCAGGCTCATCGTCTCCCCCATCGCTCCTCGGTGTAGTTGGTGTATGCAGCTTCGGTGCCGCTGCACGCCTGCGCGAAACGAGAGAAGCAACCACAAGGACAACGGCCTTCTTACAGCATTCGCATCTCCCTCTCTCTCTCTCGAGTGGCGAGCGGGGCACGGCTGGCTGGATAGCCCCCTCCCTTCCTCCTTCCCTTCTTCTTCTTCTCCTCCTCCTCCTCCTCTTCCTCCTCCTTCTTGTCTGTCCGTGTTGTAGTATCGCTGATGTATCCTGAACTTCCTCTGGTGCTTCTGCTCCAGCTCCCGTCCTGCTGACGCCATTGCTGGTGGCGGTTCTGATGTAACTCTCCGGCCAACGCCAAGCGGGCGAGGAGAAGAGAGCGGAACGACAACACGTCCCGTCCCCTCCCCTCCTCCTCCTCCTCCTCCTCCTCCTGCTCCTCCTGCTCCTCCTCCTCCTCCTCCTCCTCCTCCTCCTCCTCCTCCTCCTCCTCCTCCTCCTCTATCCCCTTTCCTTATGCATACCTCCTTCCTGTCGCACCCCCAGACGTGTCAGTAGGGCGGGCTGGGCGTTCTGTTCCGCCCGAGACCTCAACACCATTTCTGACTCTGAAGCTTGGAATTTGCAGCAGTTTCGCGGATGGAGGGCGGATAGTTTTAAAGATGTGGCTGTCGCCATAACGCCGCGCACATTCGTAGTGAAAGTTTGCAGAGGATTTGAAGATGAATGGCGGGTGTTTTTCAACACGGCTCTCGCCTGAGAGCTGTGCACATCCGTCTTATCAATTTGGTTTGCACCAGCTTCAAGTATGGAGGGCGGGCCTTTTTCAAAATGGAGCTCTCGCCTTAGCGCCGCGCACTTTCGTCTGATGGAGGGCGGGCCGTTGTCAAAATGGAGCTCAGGTCCTAGGAACGGTGTACTGGCACGATTTCGGATTGTCAGGGCGCAACAGTCACGATGATTCGCGACATTGAAGTCCCAGGAATATTGTTTTGGCACGGTTGAGGATTCTCAGACGGCTGTGGTTGCCTTTAATGGCGCACTTCAGCCAATGAAACTATTCTCCTGTAGGCACCTCGAACTAGGGAACCTGGAGGGAGGGTTTGCTGCAACATCGTTGATGCGTCTTGTGCTTGCTCTGGTCCCCCTCCTCCTCCTCTTCCTCCTCCTCTTCCTCCTCCTCTTCCTCCTCCTCTTCCTCCTCCTCTCCTCTCCTCCTCCTCCTCCTCCTCCTCCTCCTCCTCCTCTCACCCTCCTCCTCCATCCGCCTCCTCCTCCTCCTCCTCCTCCTCCTCCTCCTCCTCCTCCTCCTCCTCCTCCTCCTCCTCCTCCTCCCCCTCCTACTCCTCCTCCTGGGTCCGCTTCCATCCCCTTTTCTCATAAATAACAACTGGCACGCGTGCCCTCGCTCTTGCACGCTTGAGGAGAGAAAGAGGAAGAGGGCATGTGGGGGGCGAGAGGGCCAGGGGATGCGGGGCCAGAGCCAGGGGAACGGAACCACGAAAATAAAGGGTCCGGGGCGAGGAGGGCTGGGGCCAAGGCCAGGGTCGGGGCGAGTGGGGGTCCAGGGCCAGGAGGGCTTGGGCGAAGGCCAGGGTCGGGGCGAGCGGGGCCAAGGGCCAGAGGGCTGGGGCTCGGACCAGAGGCCAGAGGTCCGGGTTGGGGCGAGGCTGCGAGGGGGGGCGGGCCACAGCCAGGGGGACGGGGGCGAGGGGAAGCGGGCCACAGCCAGGGGGACGACGACAAACCACCAACCACGAAAATAAAGGGTCTGGGGCGAGGGGGGCTGGGGCCAGTGCCAGGGGACGCCAGAGCCAATTAGAGAGGCGGGGTTCAGGGCCAGGGCAGGAGGACGGGGGCGAGGGGGCCAGGGGAAGCAGGCCCGAGCCAGGGGGACGACGACGAACCACGAAAAAAAAGGGTCTGGGGCGAGGGGGGCTGGGGCCAGGGCCAAGGGACGCCAGAGCCAAGGAGGGAGGCGGGGTCAGGGCCAGGGCAGGAGGACTGGGGCTCGGACCAGGAGCCAGAGGTCCGGGTTGGGGCGCGGAGGCCAGGGGATGGGGGGCAGGGGTACGACTACGACGAGGATGGGAAGCCAGAGCCAGGGGGAAGACGACGAACCATGAAAATAAAGAGGTCCGAGCTCTAGAACACAACTGAGCAAGATAACTTGTCCCTGTCGCACCCCGAGACAGGTCAGCAGGGCGTGCCAGGCGTTAGGCCTGAGACTTGCTCACCATTTCTGATCATGAAGCTTGGGATCTGCAGCAGTTTCACGGATGGAGGGCGGATGGTTTTCAAAATGTGGCTCTCTCGTCCTCCCTCCTCCTCCCTCCTCCTCCTCCTCCTCCTCCTCCTCCTCCTCCTCCTCCTCCTCCTCCCCCTCCTCCTGCTCACCATATCCTCCCGGCGCTGGCGCTGCTGGCGTTACTGTCGATCACGACGTTGCCCCCCCCCCCCGCCCCCAAGGGTCGGTCGCCCCTGGGTGGGTGGGTGATCGTACTAGGAGATCTGCAAGGTTGAACAAGGGAAAGTGCGACGGCCAGACCCCCCATGGGGGCGGAGCAGCTAGGTCCTCCAGGCCACCCCTCTGCGGGGGGTGGGCTGCAAAGACGAGTTCGCCTCCCGGCCTGGCCTCTTTGCCTGCGCGACCCCTCGCCGCTCCTGCTTCCCCTCCCCCTCCCCCACCCCTGCCTTCCAAATAGCTCTTCCGTGTCGCACCCCCAGACGTGTCCGTAGAGCGGGCCAGGTGTTTCGCCCGAGACTTCTTCGCCACTCATGGTCCTGAAGCTTGAAGTGTGCAGCAGTTTCAAGGATGGGTGGCGGGCTGTTTTCAAACTGCGGCTCTTGCCTTTGCGCCGCCCATATTCGTCTTAAACGGCTACTGCAGTTTCAAGGAACCAGGGCGGTTCATTTTCCAAATGTGGTTCTCGCCTTAGCGCCGCGGACATTCGTTTGAAATGAACCCGGCGCGACCCCAATTGGGGAAAAGTTTCCTATTGCATGGGCGCGTTGCTTGGCATTGCTTGGCAGTGTTTCGCAATGCTTTGCATAGCTTTGCATAGCTTTGCATTGCTTTGTATTGCTTGGCGTTGCTTACGATTGCTCGGCATTTGATGGCATTGCTTGGCAATGCTTTGCGCTGCTTTGCACTGCTTTGCATTGCTTGGCGTTGCTTGCGATTGCTCGCCACTGTTTGGCTTTGCTTGGGATTGCTTGGCGGCGGGGAGGGAACCCGAGGAACCTGGGGAACCAATCTCAGAGGAACGGGCAACGCAACAATAGGAGGCGCCGGGGGCGGGGAACCCGAGGAGCCCAGGGAACCCGAGGAGCCTCTAGGAAACGGGCAACGCAACAATAGGAGGCTCTGGGGGCGGGGAGCCCGAGAGACCCGAGGAGCCTCCGGGCAACGGGCAGAGTAACTTTTAACCGCGTAAGAACCCCTCAGGCAAGCCTGCTTGGGGAAACAACTGCAGCAGCTTGAAATCTGGAGGGCGGTTTCTTTTTCAGAATGTGGCTCTCGCCTCAGCGCCGCGGACATTCGTCTTAACGTTTGGGACAGTTTCAAAATTTGCACCAGTTTCAACGGCGGAGGGCGGTTCCTTTTCAACATGCGGCTATCGCTTGAGTGTCGCGCACATTCGTCTTAAAAGGTTTGCAGCCATTTTAAACATTCGTATGGTGAAAGTCCCAGAAGTGGTGACAGTCACGTAGATGAATCCAGGAGCTGTATCTTGGCACGGTGGAACATTCTCAGACGGTTGCCTTCTAATAGGTCATTTCTTCTAATGCACATACATTCCCTCAGGGACCTATGAAGAGGGAGCTTGGAGGGAGGGTGTGTTGCAACATCGTTGATGCGTCTGGGGCTTACACTGGTCCTCCTCCTCCTCCTCCTCCTCCTCCTCCTCCTCCTCCGTCGTCTCCTCCCACTCTCCTTGCTCGTCCTCCTGCCCCCTATCCACCCTCATCTCCCCTTCGCTGCTTTCCAGACCTGGCCTCGTACGCGGTGGAGAGCTGCAGTGAGTGCCCGAAGTGGATGCTGCTCAGCAGGCCGCACGGGTCCGATCTCAGCTCCTGAACCGCCCGCTGGAGGGGGGGGACCTTATGGGGGACAGAGGAGGAGGGAGAGGACGAGTGATGGGAACACGGAAGGGGGCGATGAGACACAGGATGATGAGGAGAGGAAGAGAAATCAGTTGGCCCAGCGCGAGAGCAACACGTGTTTTTACCAATCGCCCCGTGACTCTGCTGGCTGGGCCAGCAGGGCCCAGTAGTCCGCACTTAGCGGGGTCTGCTGGATCAGCCACCTCTTCTTCTTCCTCCTTGTCCTCCCTCTCCTCGTCCTCGTCATCGTCGTCGTCGTCGTCGTCGTCGTCCTACTCCTCCTCCTCCTCCTCCTCCTCCTCCTCCTCCTCCTCCTCCTCCTCCTCCATCCTTTCCCTTTATAAACACCTTCTCCCTGTCGCACCCCGGGGCCAGTTTTTAGGGCGGGCCGGGCATTTCGCCTGAGACTTCCTCACCATCTATGACCCTGAAGCGTAGAAAGTGGCATCAGTTCCGCTGGTGGAAGGCAAGTGGTTTTCAACATGTGGCTCTCGCCTGAGTGCCGCGCACATTCGTTTCAAACAGTTGCAAGAGTTACGGATGGGGGGCTGGTCGTTTTCAAAATGTGACTCTCGCCTTAGCGCCGCGCACAATCGTTGTAACACATTGCAAGGGTTTCGCGACTGGGGGGGCGGGTCGTTTTCAAAATATGGCCCTCGCCTTAGCGCCGCGCACATTCGTTTTGAACATGTGCAAGGGTTTCACGGATTGAAAGCGCGTGGTAGAATGTAGCTCTCGCATTGGTGCTGCGCACATTCGTTTCAAACATTTGCACGAGCTTCATGGCTGGAGGGCGGGCCGTTTTCAAAATGTGGCTCTCGCATTCGCGCCGCGCACTTTCGTTTCAAACATGTGCAAGGGTTTCGCAGATTGAGAGCGGCTCCTTCTTAACTAACATGTCGCTCTCACCTTAGCGCCGCGTACGTTCGTTTCAAACATATGCAACTATTTCACAAACTCCCATGATCAGCGTGCCAAAATGATGTTGTAGATTGACTCAGGATTTTGAGGGTGCGTCGTTACGTTGTTTCGCGGTGTTGAGGCCCCAGAAATGGTGTTCTGGCACGATTCAGGACCGTCAAGTCGCAACAGTCGGATTGACTCGTGGCGTAGGAATCCCGAGAATAATATTTTGGCATGCTTCAGGGTCTTCAAACGGTTGTCTTCCAACGAAGCACTTCCTTCAGTACACATGGACCGTTGTCGGGGCCTATGAAGAGGGAGCTCGGAGGAAGGGTGTATTCCAACATCGTTCATGACTCTTGGGTTTACACTGGTCCTCCTCCTCCTCCTCCTCCTCCTCCTTGTCCTCCTCCTCCTCCCTCCTCCTCCCTCCTCTTCCTCCTCGTCCTCCTCCTCCTCCTCTCCTCCTCTCCTCCTCCTCTTTCTCCTCTTCCTCCTCTTCCTCCTCCCTCCTCTCCTCCTCCTCCTCCTCCTCCTCCTCCTCCCTCTCCCTCCTCCTCCTCCTCCTCCTCCTCCGCCTCCTCCTCTTTTTCCTCCTCTTCCTCCTCCTGATCATCCTTTTCTTTCTGCTGCCGCTGCTGCCGCAGCCGGAGCTGCCGCCGCGGCTGCTGCCGCCTCTCGCGGGAGCGGCGTCCTGGTGGTCCATCCGGAGGGTGCCCCGCCGGATGTACTCGTACACCGCGGAGTCCGGGGTGGAGTTGAAGTCTCCGCAAATCAGCGAGGGGATGCCCTCCCCGAGGGCGTGGGGGGGGGGGGGGGGGGGGGGGGCGAAGGGAGGAGGGGAAGGCTGAAGTCCCCGCGCATCGGGGAGGGCATGTCTCCCGAGAGCAGAATGATATTGAAATGAAACAGAACCCTTAGGGCGCTTCGTGGCGGCCTAGCCCAGGCCACCCTCAGACGCAGTGGAGAAAGCCGAGGCGTCGGGCAAATCGCCCTCTGCGTCCCCCCCCCGAGAGCGGAAAAGAGGGGGGAGGGGAGGAGGGGAGGGGGGGGAGGCGCAAGGAAAAGGGAACGGGGGAAGGGGGGCGAGAGGCGAGGGGGAGGGGAGAGGCGAGGGGGAGGGGAGAGGCGAGGGGGAGGGGAGAGTGAGTGCTGGGGACAGGGAGGCGGGAGAGAGGATTTCTGAAACGAAGAAGCAACAACCGCATCGAATACAGGAGCTCGCGCAGCATAACCCTGGCGAGAGTGGATACGAACACCAGGTGCACCTCCTTCCCATCTCATTTCACGCGCAAGCAGAGACTGATCGCTGCAGGTCACGCTCCTCGGATGCATGGAACCCGATTTGTGTGCACGGTTTGTCGCCGCACCTTTGATGCTACTCGCGGTCAGGTCTGCAACTTCCGGCCGGGTAGATGTCTGGGGGCGCGCGAGATGAGACCGCAGGTTGGGCGCGAAGCTGTAATTGCGCATCCTGCGGCGATGAGGGCCCATTCCTCGCACGATTTGTCGGTTCTGAGGGGCGTTCTGTACTGCCGAGCGTGCGGGCGATATTGTGTCTCCACCGCTCAGCTCCTGAGCGAAGAGTGTCATGTTGCGAAGGCCCGCGCTGAAGGCAGGCCGTCTGTTGGCCCCACAAAGGCTGGTGCTAGCGTGTTGTCTCGCCTCGCGCGAGGGTTGTCCCCAAAGAGTGGCATGTCTTTTCCTTCGCTGTGATTGCATGCTGTGCTACCGAGTCCTGGCCAGATCAGGGGTGCTCATATGGTCCAGACCAGAGTCCTCCTCCTCCTCCTCCTCTTTTGCCTCCTCCTCCTCCTTTTCCTCCTCCTCCTCCTCTTTTGCCTCCGCGGGTCGCGCCGCAGGCGCGGACTGGCCCAAGCAGGGGCGCGGGGCGGACAGTGAGCACAGGGGCACGCCCAGCGCGCGAAAGGGGAGCGCCCAAAGGGGCGCAAGCCCAGGGGAGAGGCGCCGGGAGAGGCAGCGCTTTCGCCCGGCCCAGGGGCAAAGGGGGGACGAACCCGGGGAGGGAGGGACAGGGGGCGAAGCCAGGAGCGGGGCGAAGCGGAGCGGGGACAGGGGAGGAGGAGCCAGAAGACGGAGGAAAGCGAAGAGGGGAGGGGAAGAAACAAGGAAAGGAGCACAAGGCGAAAGAGCAGCGGAGCCCAAACGGACGCGGACGCGACAACCGACCGGGGGCAAGGGCGACAGCACGAACCGACTCGACACGACGACGACCAGAAACCACGACACACGACACCCTCCTCCTCCTCCTTCTTCTCCTCCTCCTCCTCCTCCTCCTCCTCTTTCTCCTCTTTCTCCTCCTTCTCCTCCTCCACCTATTTCTCCTCTTTCTCCTCCTTCTCCTCCTCCTCCTCCTCATCTTCTTCCTCCTCCTCCTCCTTTTCCTCCTCCTCCTCCTCCCCCTCCTCCCCCTCCTCCTTCTCCCCCATTCCTGTTCCTTATGAATAACTTCACCCTGTCGCACCCCGAGGCCAGTTTTCAGGGCGGGCAGGGCGTTTTGCCTGAGACTTCGTCATTATTTATGACTGTGGAGCTTGGAAATCCCACCAGCCCTTTAGGGCGTAGGTGGTCTAGAGAGTTTCCTCTGCCAACCCCCCTTCTTTCCCTTCGGGGAGGGGTTTACCCCTCCCCTTACCCCTCCCCACTGACCTGGACGGGGCGTTCCGCGACGCGTTGGGACGCCCAAGATGGCCCAAGACTGCTCCAAGAGCGAAAAGGCGAGAAAGCACAAAACATTGATTTTCCTTAGGTTTTGGAAGGATTTTGGCCTCTTGGGGGGGCCCAAGAGGCGATCCGAGGCACTCTAGAGGGGCGAGGCTAATTGGGGACCCCCCCTTCTTTGATAGATCTCCTCCAAGATGGCCCCAAGAGCGCCCCGAAGGCTCCCAAGAGCGCCCCAAGAGCGCCCCAAGAGGGCCCCAAGAGACCCCAAGAGGCCCCCAAGAAGCCTCCAAGAGGCTGCCAAGAGACCCCCAAGAGGCCCCAAGAGAGTCCAAGATGGCCCAAGACGGTTCCAAGAGCGAAAAGGCGAGAAAGCAAAAAACATTGATTTTACGTAGGTTTTGGAAGGATTTTGGCCTCTTGGGGGGCCCAAGAGGCGACTCGAGGCACTCTAGAGGGGCAACGCTAATTGGGGACCCCCTCTTCTTTGATCGATCTCCTCCAAGATGGCCCCAAGAGCGCCCCGAAGGCTCCCAAGAGCGCCCCAAGAGCGCCCCAAGAGCGCCCCAAGAGGCCCCAAGAGGCGCCCAAGAAGCCTCCAAAAGGCTCCCAAGAGACCCCCAAGAGGCCCAAGAGGCTCCCAAGACGGCCCAAGACGGCTCCAAGAGCGAAAACGCGAGAAAGCACAAAACATTGATTTTAGCTAGGTTTTGGAAGGATTTTGGCCTCTTGGGGGGGCCCAAGAGGCGACTCGAGGCACTCTAGAGGGGCAAGGCTAATAAGCAACCCCCCCTTTTTTGATAGATCTCATCCAAGATGGCCCCAAGAGCGCCTCGAAGGCTCCCAAGAGCGCCCCAAGAGCGCCCCAAGAGGGCCCCAAGAAGCCCCAAGAGGCCCCCAAGAAGCCTCCAAGAAGCCCCCAAGAGACCCCCAAGAGGCCACAAGAGGCTCCCCGAGATACGCAAGAGGCCCCCGGGACCGCCAAGAGGCCCCAAAGACGGCCCAAGAGGCCCCCAAGCTCGCCATTGTCCTCCTCCTCCTCTTTTTCTTCCTCCTCCCTCCTCCCCCTCCCCCTCCTCCTCCTCCTCCTCCTCCTCCTCCTCCTTTTCCTTTTCCTCCTTCTCGTCCTCCTCGTCCTCGCAGTCCTCCATCTCCTCCTCCTTATCTTCCTCCTCCTCCTCCTCCTCCTGCTCCTCCTCCTGCTCCTCCTCCTGCTCCTCCTCTTCCTCCTCCTACTCCGACGACGACGGCTCCTCCTACATCCTCCCCCTCTTGGGGTATATGGCGGCTCACCCCGCCCTCTGTTCTTCTGCATGCTCCCCCGCTTCCCTCATAACCTCCACTCCCCTGGGACTCATTTCTGGACGGGCTGGTGGGGATACGCGAAGCGTCTAGAATTGGTAACAGCTTCGCAGATGGAGGGCACATCGTTTTCAACATGTGGCCTTCGCCCTAGCGCCGCGCACACTCATTTTATCATTTCAAAACATGCGAAAGTCTTACGGATTGAGGGCAACTGTTTTCAACATGTGGCTCTCGCCTTAACGCCGCGCACGTTCGTTTTAAACATTGGCAACAGCTTCGCAGACGGGGGGCGGGTCGTTTTCAAAATGTGGCTCTCGCCTTAGCGCCGCGCGCATTCGTTTCAAACATTTGCAAGAGTTTCACGGGCTCCCATGATCAGCGTACTGGAAATTGTGTTTTGGAAAGATTCCTGATTATGCGGGTGCAGCAGTTACGTTGCTCCGCGGTGTTCAAATCCCAGGAATGGCGCTCTGGCACGATTCAGGATCGTCAAGTCGCAACAGTGAGATTGATCAGTGGCGTTGGAATCCCGAGAACAATGTTTTGGCATGCTTCACGGTCTTCAAACGGTTGTCTTCCAACGAGGCAGTTTCCTCAATGGAATTGAATCGTTGTAGGGGCCTATGAAGCTGGAGCTCGGAGGGAGGGCTTAATCCAACAACGTCGATGGCTCTTGGGTTTACACTGGTCCTCCTCCTCCTCCTCCTCCTCCTCCTCCTCCTCCTCCCCTTCTTCTTCCTCCTCCTCCTCCTCCTCTTCCCGTGGCGCTGATCCGTCTTGCCCGTGCCCCCCCGCCAAAGTCGGCGAGGTCGAGCGAGCGCTGCGGAGCCCCACCTCTACTTTCGACCGCACTCCCGCCACTGCTGCTCCGGCGCGGGCTCTCCTCGCCAGACAGGGGAGCGCGCCCCAGAGTTCGCAAATGGTTTGGGGGCCGGCGCCGACGACCTGCATGCCACATGGGCTGCGGTGTCGGGGCCGCCCGCCTCCGGAGCCCGGAGCGGGTCCCCCGGCAGTCTGCCAGCGACCCTGCGAGCACTGCAGCCTGCCGCGAGCAGGCCACGCAAGGTGTTCGCTGACCGCCTGTTGGGATATCTGTTGCTTTGCTTCTCCCTCCATCCGCGGCTCCCACTGCCACTTCTCGACTTCCCGGGGAAGCACAAGGGGGGAGGAAGGCAAGAGGAGGAGGGGGCGGGAGGTGGCTCAGCGAGAGGCCACGATGCAGGCTCGGGGCGGTGCCTACTCCCCAGTCCCCTGTTGCTCCTGCCCGGGGCTGATACCTTTCGTGTAGGAGCTCGATGATGACGAGCAGCGCAGTAGAGAGGGCATCGAGAACCAAGCCAGAGGCTTGGGGAGGGGGCTGACGGAGCGCAGAAGAAGATCGTGCGGCCAGCCAGGGGCGAGGCGTGGACGAAGATGGCGCAGGAGTCCGGGCAGGAGGAGGGGGCGAGGGAGGGGGGGAAGGTCAATGTGGTCGAGCAGCGCAGGACGGAGGGTAATTATCGAGATCAAGGCTGGAGAAGAAGGTCGTGCGGCCAAGGGCGAGGCCGCTCGCTGGAATCCGGGGGGGCGCCGAGGGGCAGAGGGGGGAGGCGAGCCGAGCGGGAGGGGGGGGGAGGGGGGGGGGGGAGACGAGGGACTCGCCATCGCTGGGACGTCCATTCCCTGTGCTTTTTTCGGTTTCGTGCGTCTTTTCTCCGCCAAATGATCAAGGATGCTCCTCGATGGTCCTCGCCGAGAAAAAAATGCACACGTCCGAGCGATGCCGAGGGGAAGAAGACGAAGGGAAGCGGGGAAACCCGGTGCGCCCCGCCGCGCGCCGCGTGGGCAGGGACGTCAGAGGCAGCGGGGCGCCCGCGGCGGAGGCGGCGCCTCCTGCCGCCCCTCGCGGCCTCCTCGGCGTGCTCGGCCTGCACCCCGGACGCACGCTTTCCCCGCTGCTCCGCCTCCGCCTCCGCGCCCGACCATCCGCCAGAACCCGCTGGGAATTGCGCGCCGTCCGCACGCGCGCTGGCAGCACGACTATGACGTCGGGTTCCAGCTTCGGCTCCCGCATCCCGCTGGGCAGCGTCACACTCTGCGGCCAGCGCGCGCCCTTCTGTATTCTTGGACTCGAATGCACAGCTACGGCGGCTCTTGCGGATTACCCTGCAAGATCTACGCCGAACGTACTGTTCTGCAAAATTGGTCTTGTCACGGTTTCCGCCGGCGGGTCGTTCAGGCCAAACGGAACAAAAAAACAGCCACACTGTGTTGCAACGAGGTTGGGCCGACACCGCCGGCGAGTCGCGCCATGCAGGCGCGTGCCCTTCTCACACTCGCAGGTCCCAGCGGTGTAGCTAGCTGCGTCGGGATTCAACTTCGCCGCCTTCTTCCCGCACAGCAAAGCCACAGCGGGCGGCCCAAACCCGCCCTGATCGAAGGTACCGGCCCCAGCGCTATATCTGATGACGTGCACCTCGCTGAGCAGCGCCAGACCCCGCTGCCACTCCTCGCCCTTCTCGCCCGCGGTGGCCCCAGCACTGCTGTTGGTGATGGCACTGGCATCCACCTCCCACATCTCGCTGAGCAGCGCCGGGGCCCGACGCCACTGTTCGCCATTCTCGCTCGCCTTCCTCCTGTCTTCTGCGGATGCTCCTCCCAGGCGCGCCGCGCACTGCGATCGCGAAGCTGTCACGGCGCGGCTCGCTCCCCAGGTCAAAGGGGAGGGAGGTGTGTGCCGAGGGAGGAGGAAGGAGGGAGGATGAGGAGGAAGGCGAGAGAGTATGGATAAGGCGGGAGGAAGGAGGGAGGACGAGGAGGAAAGCGGAGGAGTGTGGTCGGGGGGGAGAGTATGGCCAAGGCGGGAGGGAGGAGGGGGAGGAGGGACGTGGAGGGGTGGAGAGGGACGAGGAGGCGAGCGTGAACGGGGTCCGCCCGTCACCTGCGGCGACGGGGCCCGTAAGATCTGCTTTGTCCCGCGGAGGGGACTTGTACTGCCCTGGCCCTGACCCCGTGCACTGGCAAGTCCCCAGGAGTCATGAGGCAGGCCCACTCCACGCATAAGATGTGGGGGAGCCTTGACGTCTTTGAGACTTCCCGTGTGTTTCATTGTGCCAGGTGCGGCTGCTCTTGGTCGAGCCAAGGCCCTGACACTCTCCCATGGTCGCTTGGGCCACCCCGCGAACAAGGACGCGGCTGGATCTCTGAGCCTTCTGAAGAAAGGAGCCGTCCCCAGCACCAATGTACATTTCGGCCCAGCAGTTCCATCAAGATGGTGTGGTATTTTGCTGTGTGTACCCTAGTATTGCCCCCGCTCTGTCTCGCTTCACCATCTTGTTTGTGTTGTTGTTGCTGTTGCTGCTGTTGTTGTTGTTGTTGTAGTTGTTGAAGTTGTTGAAGTTGTTGAAGTTGTTGATGTTGTTGTTGCTACTGTTGTTGTTGTTGTGGTTATCTCTCTCTCTCTATATATATGTCTTTCTCTTTCTCACTCTCTGCTGCTAGTTCCACATCGTGGGACCACGTAGTTGAAGGCTGCTGTTGTTGTTGTTGTTGGTGCTGTTGTTGTTGGTGCTGCTGATGTTGTTGTTGAACATTATTTCTTCTTAAGAATAATTATTGTTGGGACCCCTGGTGCGCGCCCCCCCCGCCGCGCCTAGGCCGCAGCCACGTTTTCATCATTTTCGTGAGGAAGCCTCAGGCAAAACGATGTGATCCAGATCCGGTTGTTTTGTTGTCCCCCGCTTTCCCTTGCAAAAAATAAGGTAAAGTGGACATTTCTTGTTCTAACATAATCAAACTTCAAGAATCCCTTGCAAAAAATAAGGTAAAGTGGACATTCGCGCGCGCAAGACGAAATCCTTCCAAAACCTTAGTTTTCGTAGCGATTTTTTAATAAAAACATCAAAAAAAAACCAATGGTTTTTCAAAAAAAATTGTCAAAATTTCATCCCGCGCGCTCTTGCGGATTCGTAGGAAACCCAACACTTTTTAAACATTTCTGTCAAACGGGCTTTTGCGAGCAACTTTTTCGAACTTCTGCAACAACGGTTGCGCACCTGCCAGGGCCATCATCCCTGTCAAATAATACCATGCGGGACACATTCGTTTTTTCTTCGCGCGCGCACGCCGTCGTCGTCGGCCGCGGGGCCCTGAATAGTAGCCACGGTCGTCCGCATGCCACGAAGTGAAGTGTCCGAACGTCATAGGGCGGGAAGCTGGGTGTGGGTGGTGGCGAAGAGTCGTTTGGAAATTTGGTAGAGCTTGAACCGGCCCCCCCACAAAGTGGGGGTATTGCCCGCCTCCTATGAAAACCCTGGCACTGGTGAGAACGGAGTGTCCCCACGTGCTAGTAATTGTTGTTGTTGTTGTTGTTGTTGTTGTTGTTGTTGTTGTTGTTGTTGTTGTTGTTGTTGTTGTTGTTGTTGTTATTGTTGATGTCTCTCTCTCTCTATCTTTCTCTTTCTCACTCTCTGCTGCTGGTTTCACATCGTGGGACCACGCAGTTGAAGGCTGAAGGACTAAACGGAGGAGAAGAAGAAGGAGGAGGAGGAACAGGAGAAGAAGAGAAGAAGGAGCATGATCATTACGAGGGCGACGAAATCGAGGATCCCCTGCGACCAATCCCGCACGCCTTGAGGCCGTTGTTCGAGCTCAGGGCACGCAGCAGGTGGTGGCACTGCGCCAGCTTCACGTCGGTGAAGCCTTCCGCCCCTCCTGCTCGCCGTCCCCGCCCTCCTCCCCCAACCTCAGGCTCCCTCCTTCCCCACCCTCCCCTCACCCTCCCTCCAGACTGCCGCCCCCTCCCTGGCTTCCTCCGTCCCCCGCTCGCGCTCGCGGAGAGGGGGGAAATGGGGAGGGAGGGGGGGAGGGCGAGGGCGAGAAGGGCCAGAGCAGCAGGAGGCGTCGACTCCCTCTCTCCCTCACTCCTCCCTCCCTCCCTCCCTCCCGCCCACCCTCACTGAGGACTGGGCTGGGGTGGCCTGGGATGGGCTGTGCTCCATTCTCCCCTCCCTCCCTCCCTCCCTCCCTTCCTCAGTTGGGGAAGGCTCTGGGCTGGGCGGAGCTGGGGCTGTTGCTGGGCTGAGGGGGGGGGGGCTGGGCGGGCGCGGGCTGGGCTCGATCCCTCTCCCTCCCTCCTTCTCTTCTGCCCTCTCGCTCTCGACTCCATCTTCCCCTCGGGATGCGAGGTCTCGGGGCCTGTCTGTCTCAGCGCCGACTCCTGCTCCCCCTCCCTGCTGCCCTCAGCCTGTCCCCGGGCCTCTCGTCCGCTGGACATCTCTGCGTCGCGGCGAGGGCGAGGAGTAACGACGGCGCCGAGGCACATTCCCACCGGAGGAGGAGGCGGAGGCGGAGGCGGAGGAGGAGGAGGAGGAGGCGGAGGAGGAGGAGGCGGAGGAGGAGGAGGCGGAGGAGGCGGAGGAGGAGGAGGAGGAGGGAGGAGGGAGGAGGAGGGAGGAGGACCACCTCTCTCTCTCGCACTCTCTCTCTCTCTCTCTCCCCCCCCGCCTCTCCTCCCCCATTCCGCAGCTGCTTCAGCCCCCGAGGGATCCGCCGGATTCCCCCCCCCCAGATCGAACTTCGCCGAGCTCCCACCGTGGTGGAGGCTCCCTCCAGGCGCGCCCGCACCCGGGAGCAGGAGACCGCGGAGCAGCGTGCGAAGCCGCGCCAGGACGTCGTGCTCGACTCTCTCGTGACTCACGGGCCCAGCCTGCGGGCGTCCCTCCGGGCCGCAGCGAACGCGGCCGCTGCAGCAGCCCCGCCGGGACCGGTCTCGTCAGTGAAACAGCAGTTTCGCAGGCGGCGGCGCTGAGCGGCCCTCCCCCAGGGCAGCGACTTCTCCTGGCGATCGCAGCCTCGGGCGATCGCAGCCTCCGGCAGCATGAAGGCCCCCACGGCAGAGACCAGGAGGACTTCGCCCGTGACCCAAAGGACCTGGCGGCCATCGTGGACCTGGCGGGCTTCGCGCCACAAGGGTCTTCAGAGCATGTGGGCGCTCCAGGCGCCCGAGGGAGGCTCGGTCCGGATGGTCTCCCGCAGCGGTGCTCGTCATGCGGGAACTCGAGCGTCACACTTTGCGCTGGACGAGGGCCCTACTCGGAGAAGGCTTTCACTGTGAGGCTTGCTGGGGGGCCTGGGACGCATCTCAGGCAGGATCCCCGAAGACGCTCGAGGCATTGAGCCCCGGTCGGGCGCCGCAGCAGTCGTCGAGGTCCGAGGTCCAGGAGCAGACCAAGTCCGTGGACCCAGAGGCCCCTGCTTGCGGGGCAGCGCAGCCCCTGCAGCGCGCCTCGGGGCACCCCACGAGCGACGCGCCCTCGGGGATGGAGGGGATCCCCCCTCCACGGGCCGCCAATGCGCCACACAGCCGCCGTGCGATTGGCGTGGCAAAGGCTGGCTTGCACCGTGCCACCATGGGGCCCTGTGCAGGGCACGGGTATCGTGCAGACTGCTGTGGAATTTGGGAGGCCGAGAAGGCGGGCCCAGTCCATAGTGGTCCGGAAGAGACCCCCCGTCGAGTTCGATGGGGAACGGGGGAGGCGGCGTGGCCTTCGGGCAGCCAGCCTGCTCGGAGTTCCACATCTCCGGGCCCAGCCTGACGCTTCCCATTTCCGCAGGGGAATCCGCAATCACCCTTCTCTGCGGCCGCTGCTGGAGCAATCCCGACAAGCAGGCCACGGAGGCCCCCGCATTCCCAAGGGAGGGTATCTCCCCAGACACGCGACGTCTTGATTTTTCTCAGGACGGCGCACCCGCAAGTCCCGACCCATTCCCCGGGACGAGTTTTTCGTCCCGAGCTGTTTTTTGGCGGTCCCGCGGCCCGGCGAGGGCTCCCCAGGGCCGAAAATGGCCAAGAACCGCCCGCCCGGATTTCTTTCCACGACGCGACCATGTCTGGGCCCACCAGCCCCAGCACGTCCTCCTCCTCCTCCTCCTCCTCCTCCTCCTCCTCCTCCTCCTCCTCCTCCTCCCCGGCCGAGCAAGCGGGCCGGCGACAGCACAGGCGGCACCGCGTGGGGCTCGGGGGGGGAGGAGCCGCCGGCAGAGCTCCCCGAGCAGGTGGGCTGCGCCCTTCCCCGGGGAGCGCGCGCGCCGCCGCCTCCTCGTGGCTCCCCCAGCAGCAGCGGCAGGCAGACCCCCTCGAGTAATTAAAAAAACACGACGGGAGGTTTTTCCTAATTTTTGGCCTCCAGGGGCCCTCACCGGGCCTCGGGGGCGTCAAAAAACGACTCAGGATGCAAAGCCGGTCATGGGGAAAGGGTCGGGACCGCTGGGGTCGGCGTAACGAAAAAATCATTACGTCGGGGGTCTGGGGCAGGCAGGCCGAGAGACCCGCCGCTCGGATCGGTGCCTGCGCCTGCTGCCCCACGGGGCCGCGCCCCTCGGACACGATCGCCTCGCCCTGGCTCCCGTGCCCGCGTGCCCTCCGGGGCCTCCGGCCCTCTCCCCGCGTGCGGCGCCAGGAGGGCTCCGCGCCCCCGCGAAGCCTGCGGCCCCGAAAGGGCAACTTCGACCAGCTTGGGCGCCAGCTGGGGGCGGTCCACGTCTGGCTCCGCAGGCAGGGCTCGGGTGCACCTCTCGGCGTCCTGGGCGTGCCGCGAGGGCGTCCTCGGCAGGGGTCTCCACTGGGCCGCGCCCTGCGGCACGGGGGAGGCGCCGGCGGTCCCCATCCACGGGCCGAGTCTCCCGCCACTGCCGTTGGGTCGGGCGCGTCCCCCTGCAGGCGGATCTTGGGCGACAAATCAGACATACCCCCCAAAATACTCCACAGATGCCCAAACACAGTCAGCAGAGTCGTCCCCCGACTATCTTTGGGACTATGTTTGAGCATTCTCCCTGTAGAGGGACAGGCCCGACTTAACACTACCGCCGCCCGGTTGTTCGGCGCCCTGACGCGAGGGAGCGGGCCACCGCGGCCCGACGCGGTCAGCGCCACCGCGCTCCGTCGCGGCATCGGGGGGAGCGGCTCGCAGCCCTCGCGGTCTCCATATCCCGCTCCCCGCTCGCCTCCCCTCCCGCTGTGTGCAGCTTCCGGGGGTGGGATCCAGGATGTTGCATCGACCTGTGCTGGAGGCATGGGCCTCCTCTCCGCCCCCCTCCCCCTCCCTCGCCCCGCGTTCTTCGCTGTCCCCTGGGCGGTGGACTGAGGGATGCCAGCCCGTCGATCATGAATTGACCAAGCTTGAGCTCTAACATTGACCCGCTTGGGGTGCAGTCCCTTTACCCGTGTGCCCTGCGCATGTACGGCTCAGAGCCTACACCAATAGGCAGCGCCTCAAGCACAGGCGGTCTGGGTCAAAAGGACTGCCGAGGGCCCACATAAGCTGGGTACCTCGGCGCACTCTGCTTGCTAGCTTTACGTTTTCTCCGACGTTCTGTGCAGCCGTTCTCCTTCTCCCTGGGTCGCCGCGCGTGCCGTCAGCATGAATTGGAACATCGCTGTGCGCCGGTCCTGCTATATGATACAGGCGCCGATGCTTGCCTCAATTCTGGGCGATGCCAGCTCATCCTCCCTGTAGGCGATGGACAGGGATGGCTCTCAGTTTTGGCGCGTTGCCCCGACAGGGTCGTCCTAGGTAGGTTTATTGGGGGCCCTTATCTCGACTTGCGCCGCCGACGCAAAATATGGTCATCCCTTCCTCTCGTCTCTCCTTCCCTCCCCCATGCACCCTCCCTCCCTCCATTCAGGTCCCTGCGGGTCTGGGCTGGGATGGGCTGGGCTGGGCCGAGGCCTCTGGGAGCCAGCCTCGCTGCTAGGGCACCCAAGGACAAGGATTGGCCCAACTCTCTTGCGAAGGCGACCCCCTGGGGCCTGGGGCCCAGGTGGCGCCCGGGGCGGGGCCACGGGGGTCACCTCCGTAGAATTTTGCCCATGCCTCCTCTCTTCCTCCTCCTCCTCCTCCTCTTCCTCCTCCTCCTCCTCCTCCTCCTCCTCCTCCTCCTCCTCCTCCTCCTCCTCCTCCTCTCCTCCTCCTTCTCCTCCTCCCTCCTCCTCCTCCTCCTCCTCCTCCTCCTCCTCCTCCTCTCCTCCTCCTCCTCCTCCTCCTCCTCCTCCTCCCCCTCCTCCTCCTCCTCCTCCTCCTTCTCCTCCTCCCCCTTCTTTTTATCTACATGAACAGCTCCTCCCTGCCACACCCCCGGACGTGTCGGCAGGGCGGGCCAGTCGTTTCGCCTGAGACTTCCTTGCCATTTATAATCGTGCAGCTTCAACACTGCAGAAGCTTCACGGATGGAGGGCGGGCCGATTTCAAAATGTGGCCCTCGCCGGAGCGCCGCACGCATTCGTCTCAAACGCTTGCAGCAGCTTCAAGGGGTCGTACGGTCGAACTCCCAGAAGTTGTTGTGGCACGGCCGCAGACTGTCAGAGCCGAACGGTCACGTTGACTCGGGGCGTTGGAGTCCCAGGAGCGGCGTGCTGGTACGATTCTGGGCTGCCGGGACGCAGCGGTCACGTGGTTCCGCGGCGCTGGAGTCCCAGGAACTGGGCGGTTGTCTCCTAATGTGCCACTACCCGCCATGATATGACATTCTTTCAGGGGCCTGTGGAGAGGATGCTTGGAAGGATAGTGCGTTGCAACGTCGTTGATGCGTCTTGGGTTTGCACTGGTCCTCCGCCTCCTCCTCCCCCTCCTCACGCTCCTCGTCCTCCCTGTTCCCCTCCAGGGTCGGCCAGGATGTGCGTGTTGACCACGCATAGCAGCGGGCCGCCCCCTTGGCCAGAGACCTGCGCGGCGAGGCTCCCTCTCCTGACGAGGGGAGGGCCGAGGCGGGGGGGGAGGAAGGAGGGGAGAAGGTAGGAAGGGAGGGAGAGAGGGAAGGAAGGGAGGCGGAGGGAGGGGTGCGGATGGGTGCGGAGGCAGGAAGGAGGGAGGAAAGAAGACGGAGCGAGGGCGGAGGGAGGCGGGGGAGGGGAAGGAGGACGATGACGGGCATCGCTCTCATCGAGATCAGGATAGGGAATCGGGCGGTAACAGAGCGCTCCTCCTCCTCCTCCTCCTCCTCCTCCTCCTCCTTCTCCTCGTCCTCGTGCTCATGATGAGCCGACCCGATTCGCAGACGCGCTCCTGGATACATTCAGGAAGGGTGACGTTGAATATCCAAGCTGCCCGCACCCGGGCCTCCCTCATGAGAGGGCTGGCCCAACACCATGTTTCTACCAAATGAATGGTCAACTGCGTGATGCTCCTCCTGCTCCAAACCACCATCCTCCCTCCTTCTCCTCCTCCTCCTTCTTTTCTCCTCCATCTCCTCCTCCTCTCTCCATCCTTTCTCCATCCTCTCTCCTCCTCCTCCTCCTCCTCCTCCTCCTCCTCCTCCTCCTCCTCGTCCTCCTCCTCCTCCTCCTCGTCCTGCTTTATTTTTATGACCCTGATCTTTGATCTTTATGACCCTGATTCGCTCTTCCTCCTCATCTTGATGCTCCTACTCCTGATCCCAGTCCTCCTCCTCCTCCTCCTCCTCCTCCTCCTCCTCCTCCTCCTCTCCCTCCCCCCCTCCTACTCTCGCGCAGGCCCCCGCCTTGCCGCCCTTGGTGTTGAGGTCCTCCAGGGTGACAGCCAAGCCGATATTCCCCTTGGAAGCGCGCTGCTGGCTCCTTGGGGTGATGCCACGGGCCCATATCCTACTGACGGTACGTGCGTGCGCCCCGAGATCGAGGTCTTGCCACTTCTTCTCACCGAGGAGGAGGAGGAGGAGGAGGAGGAGGAGGAGGAGGAGGAGGAGGAGGAGGAGGAGATGGAGGGAAGAGGAGGAGGAGGAGGAGCAGCAGGAGGAGGAGGGAGGAGGAGGTCTTGCCACTGTTTCTCACCGAGCGTTCTCGCTCGGGCTTCGGGCCCCAGGGCCATCACGGATCGACCCGGCTCGAGCCATGCCGCAGCACGAGCAGGTCCAGGGCGCCGGTCGCGACTGTCCGCGATGTCTGCTCGCAGTGTTGGCTCTCGTGGCGTGTGCGTCCACGGCCTTGGCCGCCGCACCGTCCTGTGGGAAAAAAACACACACAAACACACACTGTGGGAAAAAAACGCACTGTGGAAAAACAAAAAACACACTCTGTGGGAAAAAACACTCACTGTGTGTGTGTGTGTGTGTTTTTTCCGTTTTTTTGTATCTGTGTTTTTCCAACACGTGTGCGCGTTTTTGTTACCCCGTCCGCCCAAATCCGGCGCGTCACGGAGCGCGCGGCCGTGGCGGCAGAGGCGTGCGACTTCGCGCCCCGCCCGCGCAGCGCGTCTGCGGGGCCTCTGCACGGTCCGGCGGCGTGCCGTTGTCAGGGTGTGGCCCTGGCCTTAGCGCCCCGCGCACTCGTCTCTCAAGTGTGCAACGGTACAGGCGGGCCGCTGAAAGAAGGAACGCTACATAAGGAACATCGAGCCCCTTCCGAACCCAAACTGTTCCTTATTTTCAGCGTCTTGACTGTATGCAGCAGTTTCACGGATGCAGGGGGGGGGGCCTTCAAAAGGCGGCTCTCGCCTCTGCGCCGCGCTCACCCTGAAAGTCTGCGGCCGCTGCAGGGGTGAACAGGGGGGTCGTTGTCGGAATGGTGCTCTCGCCCTTGCGCCGCGCACATTCATCTTAAAAGTTTGCACTCGCTTCACGTCTGGAGGGTGGCTCCTTTTCAAAGAGGGGCTCTCGCCTTAGCGCCGCGAGCATTCGTTTTAACATCTTGCAACGAATTCAGGGATCGAGCTCTGGCCGGTTTGAAGATGGGGCTCTCGCCTCAGCGACGCGCGCAGTCGTTTGTTTCACGCAACCGTTGACAACATGGGAATTGCCCTTTCCCCAAATAATGGAGTTGTCGGCTGAAGCCGTGGTCCATTATTTTAAGGTTTCGACGAGGGACGCACGCTGCGCGAATCCATGGCGGCTCTGTTTCAAAACGAAGCTGTCGCTTGAAACTCCCCAGAAGCTCATGACGACAGATGTAGACTTGTGCGGCGGTTCCACGGATTGAGGCGGGGGGTCCTTCTTCGAATGGGGGAACTTCGCTGGACTGCTCGCTGAACTGTATGACCACTGTCTCTCGCGTTCCTGCTCACGCGCCAGAGAGATGCAAGGCAATTCCTTGCCAAAGCGGGGCTCTCGCAAACATGACAGGCCCAGGTGCGCTGGTCTTTCAAGGGGGCGCTTCTCACAATCAAAAATATTTGAAGTCACGTTTGCGAAGAAGACTTGGGACCTCAGGGTGTCTTGCAGCATCGCTTATGCATCTTTGGCTTACTCTGGTCTCCCTCATCATGTCCTGCTCCTCTTCTTCCTCCTCCTCCTCCTCCTGCTCCTCTTCCCCCTCTTCTTCCTCTTCCCCTCCCCCTCCCCCTCTCTATATCCCTTCCTCGTCCTCGTCCTCGTTCTCGTCCTCCTCGTCCTGGTCCTCCTCCTCGTCACCCTCGTCGTCTTCGTCGTGGTCGTCGTCCTCCTCCTCCTCCTCCTGCTCCTCCTCCTCGCTTCCAAAGTCCTGACAGCACCCTGCCGCTGCCTGCCGTCTCCGCCCCGCTGCCCGCGCCCGCGCAGTGGCGACGGCCGTCCTCTCGGCATCGAGGCCTCCTATCGCCTGGAGCTGCTTCTCCATCAGCTTGTCGTAGTCGATCTGTTCCCCCGCCCGCGAGCCTCCTCGAACCTTCCCCTCCACCCCCCCCGACCTCCTCCTGCTCCCCCCCTCCCCCTCCCTTCACCTCCTCCTCCTCCTCCGCCTCCTCCTCCTCCTCCTCCTGCTGCTGCTGCTGCTGTTCCTGCTGCTGCTGCTGCTCCTCATCCTCCTCCTGCTCCTCCTCCTCCATCTCCTCCTCCCCCTCCTCCTTCTCCCTCCTCCTCCTCCTCCTCCTCCTCCTCCTCCTCCTCCTCCCTCCTTCTCCTCCTCCTCCTCATCCTCCTCCTCCTCCTCCTCCTCCTCCTCCTCCTCCTCCTCCTCCTCCTGGTCCAAGCTGCTCTGGGTCAAGCCGCGTGCCGCCCTTCTTCCTCTCTCGCTTTCACCTCGTTTTCACTCTCCAGCCTTGCTCTCACTTCCTCCTCAATCTCAGCGCCTCCCCTCCGCCCAGGTGGCCGGGCAGGTGGTCAGCGTCTGCAACTACGGCCTCGGGCGTATCGGGCGCCAAGCGGCCCGCGCCGCCACGAAAGACCCGCAACCGGAGTTGAAGATCGTGGACGCTGGCCACGGCCTGCACAAGCGCAAGTTCGGCCTGGACCTGGACAAGGACGGGAGCCTCTGCGAGGGCAGGCTGGAGGACCCGAAGGGCCCGTAAGAAGGCAAGTTCGGCCTGAACCCAGACGAGGACCAGAGCGTCTGCGAGGACAGGAGGACCCGAAGGGCCTGCACAAGCACAAGTTCGGCTGGGACCTGGACGAGGACGAGCGCCTCTGCGAGGACAGGCCGGACATGCTGGAGGTCCGGAAGGGCCTGTAGACGCGCAAACTTCCTGCACGAGGGCCCCTCCACCCCCCCCTCCTTCCTCTGGTCGTGGCGGGCACCTCCTCGCAGGGAGACCCGAGGCACTCCCAGCGCACTGTCATGGCTGGCCCAACGGGGCCCGCGCGACCAGGAGACCTGGCGGGAGGGGACCTGGCGCTGGCCAAAAAGCACCGGGCTGGCCCCTGCGGCCCCTGGTCGGCTCGGCCTTCGCGTGCCGGCCCGGCAGGGCTTCTCGGCACCGCTCTGCTCGGGCCTCGGCTCCGTGCACGAGTCTGCCCACCGCGGGTGTCGGCCCGTGCGGTGCCCTCGCCTTACCCGTCGACTTTCGACTCGCGATGCCGTCAGCTCCCGCCGCCCTCAATTCCCGCCGGTCCCCCTCCTCCTCCTCCTCCTCCTCCTCCTCCTCCTCCTCCTCCTCCTCCTCCTCCTCCTCCTCCACCTCCTCCTCCTCCTCCTCCTCCTCCTCCTCCTCCTCCTCCTCCTCCTCCTCCGCCTCCTCCTCCTCCTCCTCCTCCTCCTCCTCCTCCTCCTCCTCCTCCTCCTCCTCCTCCTCCTCCTCCTCCTCCTCCTCCTCCTCCTCCTCCTCCTCCTCCTCCGCCTCCGCCTCCTCCTCCTCCTCCTCCTCCTCCTCCTCCTCCTCCTCCTCCGCCTCCTCCCTCTCCCGCCGCTCTCCTTCCTCTTGGGGTGCGGGCAAGGCGACGCTCTCTCCGCCCCGCTCGCGCCGCTGGGCGGTCTGCCGCTTCGTGCGCTCCCCTGGCCTGCACTCGGAGGACGTCGCTCGCGGCGCTCGTGCTCTCAGTGGGCCCTGGAAACGACTAGGGGGCCACATGCGAACCCTACCCCTACCCTCCACGATTTCTGAAGGGGAGTGAACCCCACCCCACCCTCCCCCTCAGAAATCGTGGGTAGGGGTAGGGTTCGCATGTGGCCCCCTGACGACAGGGCCGGTTTTTTACCGGTCCTGTTTTGCCGTTTTTTTGCCGGTTCCGACGCCGTTCTTTTACCGGTTCCGTCGCCGCTCTTTTACGGGTTCCCGCTCCGGCTCCAATCCTGGAGCCGTTTTTGTTGCCGTTTCCGGTCGCCGGTTTTTTGCCGCTTCCATTTTCCAGGGGCACTTTTTCGCAAACGGTGAACAAACGGCACTGCCGTTTCCGGGGCCCACCAAGCTCGTGCCCCTGTGCCTTTGCCATCACGTTGCTTCGGGCATCTCGGGAAGGCTGCTCGGGACTCTGTTTCTGGCGAGTAGGGGGCCACATGCGAACCCTACCCCGACCCCCCACGATTTCGGAGGGGGAGGGTGAGGTTCATTTCATTCGGGAGCTCCCGAACGAAGTGAACCCCCCCCCCCCTCCGAAATCGTGGGGGGTAGGGGTAGGGTTCGCATGTGGCCCCCTAGCGAGGTCGCTGCTCACGCTGTGCGGCACAGGCGTGGCTCCACGATCAGACCTGGGCCAGGGCGTGCGCCTGCGAGGGCAGACGAGGCGGAGGCCGGGCCGGTGGTGGCGGAGGTGGCCTCCCGAGCACACCCCTGACGAGGCCCAGAGGCTCCCAGGGGGAGCCAAAGCATGGAGCGAAGAAAGCGGAGGGCACCTCGGGCCAGAACCGGCGCACCTGCAGCTCGCCAGAGACGGTGTCGTCCCAGTGTCACGAGGAAGCCCGGACGGAGGGTCCTGCTCGCAGGACCCTCACGAGCAAGCCCTCCGTCGGGTGCAGGATCGTGCTGAAGCTTGCTGGGCGGCTTGCGCAGGCGGGACCCCGCCACGCACCACGGCGGCGACACCGGGGCACTGCCAAAGGGTGTGCACGTCGGCTGCGCTGGACCGGGGCGGCCCTCGAGGCCTCCTGGGCTCCCTCCGAGGCAGCTCGGGCCAGGGGCGCCTTTCTGGCAGCCCCCGGCGAGGGGGTCCGGCCCCCGCGGCTCCAGGTCCGGCCCTCGTGGCGCCAGGGCCGCGCGGTGCACGACGCCCGCCCGGGCCCCTGGGGCCCGCGGCCAGCTCGAAGCCAGAAGGCACTGGAGGCCCCCAGGGGGGGAGGAGGAGCGGCGGCGAGCGAGGGGGGGAGACGAGGAGGAGAAGGCCTTCCGAGAGGGCGGCGGGCCTTCGCAGAGGCCCTCGCGCCCTCTGCGAGGCTTCTGGTGTCTTCGGGGGAAGGCTCGCAGACTTCTCGGAAGGCTCGGGGCCTTCCGAGCCTTCCGAGGAGGCCCGCGCCTTCCCGTTTCTCCCCCTCGCTCGCCAGACGGTCTTTTTCTTTGTTCCTCGCCGCTCTCGGCCCGGGGCCCCGGGATTTTTGCCAGGGGCTCGCGCGGCGAGAAATCATGGCGCAAGGGGGTCTTGGGGCCGCTCCCCCCCAACCCTCCGGTCAGGCGTGTCCTCCCGCATGCGGATGTTGGGCGAACATTAAAGGAATAGTCCGAGCATGCTCAGACATAGCCAATGAAAATGATAATCAAAACGTAGTCCCCAGAATTGTTTCACTATTTTTGAATTCTCCTCCTGTGGAGAGGAACGTGCCCGACTTCACCCAACCCCCACGTGGCTGGCTCTGCGGAGTCCGTCCTGGCTGCCCCCGGCAGGCCCCCGCGGCTCCGGGGCGGCTCCCGCGGCTCCCCTGGAGGAATCCCTCGAGCATCCTCCAAAGGAACCTCGTGACATCCCAGGGACTCTGTGAGGACTCCCCAAAGGAGCCTCGAAGGAGCCTCTGAGGAAGGAATCTCGAAGGAATCTCTGAGGAGATCCCGAAGCGGTTGGAGTTGGCACGCCAGCGGGGCGGTCCTCGCGGCTCTCCTGAAGGGGCCCCACGACACACAAATAAACACACACACACGCACAAATAAAACAGATCCCCATATTTTCCCATATTTTCGGGGTTTCTGTCTTCCCCCCCACTCCCCATATTTCCCCATCACTTCCTGGGGGTCGACGATAAATTGTGTCTGTGTGTTTTTTTCCCCTCCTGGTACTCCGCACTCTCCGGCCGCCTGAGGCCCCGCCCGCCCGCGCCCTGTCTCCCCAATTAGTGCTTCGCGCGCCCTGCCTAGCTCTTAACTGGAAGAGGCCCGCTCTCGACCCGCCGACCCCTAAAAAAGAGTGTTCTTTTCCCTCGCGGCTCTCCAGCCGGCGCTCGCGGCTCTCGGGGCCGGGCGCTCGCAGGCCTGCGCAGAGCACGCCGCCCTCCTGGCAAGGGGGGCGGCGCGCAGGGCGAGGAGCGCGCGGCCCCTGCTCGGCCCCGGCCGCGCCTGGCGACGCCGACGACGACGACGCCGACGCCGACGCCGACGACGACGACGACGACGACGACGACGACGACGACGACGACGACGACGACGGCTGCACGCGGAGCGCCGGGGAACCCTCGACCTGCACTCTCGGCACCCTCTGCGCGACGGGTGTGCCGCCGCCGCGGCACCTCCTCCGCGCGGGAGGGCGCGGGAGGTGCAGGTCGAGGGGGGGCCCCGAGGAGCAGCGTGCCTCGGGGCTCCTGCCCCAGCAGAAGCTCCTGAGCGTCTGGCGGTCGGGGGGCTCCTCTGCCTGCCGTGTCGCGGCGGCGGCCCCGGCGGCACGCTCTGCCCTGCACGCCGACGGCGCTCCGCGGGGCGGGGAGCGCGGGAAGGGGGACCAGGGGAGTGGATGGCGCGTCGCGCCGACGCTCGGTGAGCCCGAACCGGCGGATCGACACGCTGTCCACAAGTACCCGACCGCAGGTGGAAGCGCACACGGCGGAGCAGGGGCAAGCAGGCAGGCGGAGTGAGCGAGAGGAAAGCAGGGGTCGCCGAGCAGATGGGCCAAGGCATCCCAACATGCACGCAGCCTCCACGCGCTGCTCCTCAACTGCTGCCAGATCCCAAATCCGAATGATTATTCCTTCCTCCTGTTCCTCACTCATCGTCATCATTCTCCTCCACAGTGACACAACATGAATACTCCTCCCCTCTCTCTCTCTCTCTCCTCCGAATGTCCTCAGAGTGGCCGCCCCCCTACGCGTACTGGTTGTTCATACGCATGTTGTGCGCGACTTCGCTCCTGTATTTGTTTTCTACATTCGATCCAGAATCCAGCCGCGTCCTGTGCGAACTGGCTGGTCATGCGTTTTTGATCATTTACCGTCCGATTGTTCACAAAGTGGTGGTCTCGCTGCAGCGTGGGCCTCCTCTTCCCATCGGCGCCGTGCCCCCGCTACAGATTCAGGATTGCGCTCCCGCTCCCGCCCGGGCCGCTTCTCCGGATCCCGCGGGTCTCGACGGCACCACGGGTCCCGCCCAGGACCCGCCCGTGCCGCAGGGCGCCCCTGCGTGCCCCGCCAGCCTGGCGGCTTCCGCAGGCCCCACGAGCCCCACGCGCGTCGCAGGTCTCGCCTGTCCCGCAGGTCCGACGGGTCCCGCAGGTCCCGGAGGTCCCGGAGGGGGTCGCAGGTCTCCCGAGCCCCACAAACGGACGTCGCAGGCCTCACGGACCCCACAGGCCACCGAGGTCCCGCAGGCCGCACATGTCCCACAGGTTCCCCCCTTGCGACTGCGCATGACACGACAAGGGGCTTCTGTGGAGTTCTGGGCCGGCTGTGGCACGCGTCCGTGGATAGAGGAAATATCAACGCACTGGTAAGTGATGGGGGGGAGGGATGGGATGTCAAATATGGAGCGAGCGCGCCCAGCTCCTCCTCCTCCTCCTCCTCCTCCTCCTGCTCCTCCTCCTCTTGCTCCTCCTCCTCTTGCTCCTCCTCCTCCTCTTGCCCTCGGTGCTCTGTGCCCTCTCTCTTGTGATTCCTCTCCTCTGGCTGCTCACCCTCCTCGTCCGCGCCCTCGTCCTCCCTCGCGGCCCCGCCGCGCCCTAGCCCCGCCGCGCCCTAGCCCCGCCACTTGCTTCTCCGTTCGCCTGAAGCGGCTGGGCTTCCAGAAGGTCGCGCAGCCCTCGTTGGTGTACTTCCTGGCCCGCCCGCGAGGCCGGGAGCCGCGGCGACGGCGACGAGCAGAGGGGGCCCTC